CCAGCTTTGTGTCTTTTTCATTGTAGCTGAAGTACCGGACAAACTGTGTTTCTTTTCACCTCAATACGAAACGCGTAATATTTTCTCTGAATACGAGACGATTCTATTTTTTACAGGATGGTTGGCAACTCTAATAATTAACCTTATGAACAAAATAAAGTTCAACGGTTCATCATTAACATCATAGCACCACCCAGCTGTATAGAAACTCCGTCATGCTAGCTAGCACGCAGTACGGAAAAAGTCAGCACAACGAAAATAAACTCCACCTAAACTTGGTTCATATCTGACCCAGAGAGACTGCAGGTCCTAACTTCATACCTGAAGTTCAGTTCACACTCGGACCGGCGGCTGCCTCGGGTCTCTCATCCACCTGCTGGCCTCCACCACTTGCTAATGTTACTGAATCTGTGGAAGCTCCGCGATAGCCACCACCCGAAGTAACGAATAACGACCCTATCTAAATCCCAATAACGATTATCATGTTCCTGATTTTGGCATAATAACTAGTTACCGTGCTCGTTACCACAATAATAATGTAGTTACTGTAACGCGTAACTTAATAACGTGTTAGTCCCAACACTGCTGGTATTTATCAAAAAGGAAACTTAAAACCTAATCTTAAAATACTCAGAATACTGATGCTAAGACTGATGGGGAATACTTTTCCACAGAATAAGTTTTTTTTTTAAATTCCCATCCATCCCATCCATTTCTTTTTTTCCCCACTTACCAGTCATGACAACAGCAGGCTAATCATAGAAGCTGAGACTTCCTTCCTCCTACACATCTCCAGGTTATCTGGGGAAATGGTGACACATTCCCATCCCAGCTAAGAGATCTAATCTCTCTAGTGAATCCTGGGTCTACCTCAGGGTTTCCTTCCGGTAGGATACCTAAACCCTCAACGAGAATGTACCCTGGAAGAATAACATGCAGACTCCCACCTAAAAACTAGCATTTTCCGACTTTGATTTGATAAGAAAAAAAAAACCCTATGTGACAGTGGAGAGCATATTTAATTACTTATTACATTTTTTTATAGATGTTCCTTCAAGATAAATCACAACCATGGATGAAAAATGGGAAAGGGGGAAAACACTACCAGTAGGGAGCTGGTCGCCAATCTTTCCTTGATAGCCAAAAACTATTTGAACCTGCTCCCAACTGTTAACAGATTGTGGTGCCAGTCATGGATTTGCATTCATTTTTTACAGTGTAGATTTGATCTTTTTTTTTCATTCCTTTTCTTTCTCTGTTACTTTCTCTATGTTTGTCTTGTTTAACTTTGGATGCCATTTTTTCAGTGCATACATTTCCTCTATTACAATGTTGCTAACACCTGTTTTGCACTTCTTTGGCTTTTTGGTTTGTTTTTTTTTATCTTCAAAAGTTTGTGCACATATAGTATGCTAAGTACAGTGTTATAGTACACAATATATAATTTGTTATCACCATTAAAATTTATTCAAATGTTAAAGAGAAGCTAAAATTGTAGACAAAGAGAAAAATGTAAACATATTAATTAAAGCAAACACACACAAATGTAGACAAACGATATGCAAATGTTCACACATACTACAGATGATGGTGAAAGAAAGGCAGGAAATTAGGGAGAAGCAGCTGTCGGGCCATTAGCATAGCATCGTGTGAACACCTGAGTCCTGAGCTGGATGACAGCCAGAAAGACAAGCCTAATAAAGAATTCTCCAAAATGAGAAAACCATTACACACATCTGGACATTTTTTAATTCATTTCAGGCAACCAGATTACACTAACAGTACATGCTGTGGTTGATGAACATGGAGCTTGCTTTTTTTGCTGTTGTTCTTTTTAATAAGGC